CGGGGATAGTTCCTTGTTTTTAATAATTCTTTAAGTGCATAGAGCAAACTATCTGCATTCCACACACAACAAGGTCGCATAGTTGTGTGAGATTCTTCTGATTGGTATAAAATAAGATTATATATATAAATATAAATAACTCACATTTTAACTCGGCTCAAAAATGCGATTTGCTTCTTGCTGCTTCACTTGGATGTTTGACCTTCTGACAAAATGTTTCACAGTTTTTGACGCTACCCGACCATTTTTCACGTTCATCAGCAGAAGGTGAAAAGTTCCTCTGACCATAAATCTTGTGGGTTAGTATGAACATGATTTTGTGACATCACAACTGGTTTGGAAGCCAATTGTGATTCAATGTTTGTGTGGTACACGCAGAGAAACACAGAAACGAAGCGAAACAACCCAAACTGGAAGAGGGCAGTTATGATTCACACATTTTTAATGGTATGAAGCCAAAATAGTTGTTTAGAATATTTAAAATATCTGGAAGGGTTTTTCAGTATCTGCACAAGGACTTCATGTCTGTTTATGGCTTCATATCTCAACCACAAACACAGAGAAAATCACAAACAAATAACGAGAACCCATTTTCTCCAGAAGGTCCTCACATACTTGTGTTTTTAAAACAATGCAGTAGTCGTGGGAGACAAAAAAAAAAAACGTTGCGGCTTTAAATGAAAGAATGCCAGTGATGTGCCCAGGCATTTCCAGCAGGAATGTGCCGGAATGCTGGCAGCGGTTTGTTTCCCCCTTTCAGCTTTCCCAGGTGTTGGAGGGAAAGGAAAACAACAAAACCGCGGAGCAGAGGTGGACGGGCGAGGAATAAAAGAGAGGGCGTGGGGCTGGAGGTGAAAAACACCCAGGAGTCTGATCAGAAAGCTCCATTCTAGACATGAGGTCACCCTCACAGGTACATGCTGTTAAGACATGTAAACCAGAGAGAGGGAGGGTGGGAGGAGAGATTTATGGCCCTGTCTCTCTTATCAGCTGTCTCAAACCACAGGTTCATATCTTTGGGAGGTAATAATAAAAAACCCTCTGGAACCTGGCAGGCAGTTGTCAATCTGAAACGTGAATATAATAATATATAAGATCTGTATTTATTTAAAGCTCTTCTGGTCCAGTCCAAGAAGTTCACAGTCCAGTCTTACAGACGAGTTGTTGACCCACAGAGAAATGTGTCCGCCTTTAAAATCCAGCCGAACCGTGTGAGCATGTGTTGAACACATTTCTCCAACACGAGAGAATATTCAGCCGGTTAGTTCAGCTCCGCTCCGGTGACTCAGTGGTTGTTGTGTCTGTGCCACTTGAAGAACGTACGCATGTTACGCAACATGGCACCGAACGACCCTTATACTTATTGATCTGGATCTCAACATGACTCATGAACAGCAGTGGGAGTCAAACCCCACTCTGTTCTTGAAGTGACCCGTTGTAACATCAAACCAGAGGCTGCGGAGGAGTAGGAGGAGGAGTAGGAGTAGGAGGAGGAGGAGGAGGAGGAGGAGGAGGAGGAGGAGGAGGAGGAGGAGGAGGAGGATCAGCTGCGATGAGCAGACATCCTCCATCATTGTCACGTTACCAGGTGTGCTCTGCTTGCTTCTACTCTCACTGCACAAATTTGCACTCAAGTTTTTACCCATGCTTCTGCCTGTCTCCCTTTCGGATGCCTCACCCTCTCTCTCTCTCTCTCTCTCTCTCTCTCTCACACTCAGGCAGCACATGGCCAGCGTGGGTGAGTCACAATGGACTGGTAACAAGTGCCTCTTCTCAGGGGAGAGTCCCTCCATGTGTTCCTGTGATTAAGGCCAATCCCGCCTGAGTGTATCAGGTGCACCAGTCTGCAACGTGAGACCCGGCTCCACTGTCCCCGAGTCCACAATAAAGTTCAGCTCATGCAACAACACGCCTAGGACACATGATACACATTCAACACGGACAGACAGATGCATGCTTGAAAAACCAAGCAGTGGCAGAAGGGTTTGCTCCAATTCTCCTTTTTGTTGATATTTGATTTGACATGTAACACTTGTGCATGTAAAAATAGAAATATTGAAGCGTACTCACTGAGACACTGCAGCTCTGGAGGATGCAGCTTCTTGCACAGAGATGACTGGGCTCAGAGACACGAGGGTTTGCAGGAGGGGGCGACCTGTTCGAGAAGAGACGAGCACTGTGCCGCCACACAATATGACCAGCAGCCTGGAGGATACACAAAAATAAATAGGCCTAATGATTTGTTTTATGTATCAAAACCAACAAAAGAAACGATTAAGGACAATAACCAGTAACTCACTTTATACACATGACACAAATGATCCGACCATTGTCACACAGCTTCTATTTTTCATGTATATGATCATGTTTTTCGCTTATTTTCATATTAATTATGTCGACAATCTTTCAACAAGAGTGAGCAAATCAGCTCTGCGAGGCTACTACTTGATGGTACTGACATAGCATCAATTATTATATATATATTATATGAAGTACATCAATGATGTGAAACATTAGCTTAACTTTATACCATACAAGCATATGAGGCTTGTTTATTTTATTTATTGGCAAAAAGGGCAGAAAAACATAAAACTGTCATCAGGTGCAAGTACGTGATGTTTGCAAATATCACCTATG